AAATTTCGTTTTGAAAGAACATTTATAAGTGTCCATGAAGAGTATGTTATTCAATTAATATTTTTAATGGGTTTGAGGTCACAGAGAACAAAATGATATTAGACCTGACGGTTAGGCTTTTCTAATTTCAATACTCAAGTGGACACTTAAAAATTATTTACACATCAGAATATTAGAAACTTTGTGTCAAACTCTTCCATGACTGATTAAGAACAAGATTACCCGTTTTCACGATCGTTTGCCAGTTTGCAATTACTACCCGGTCAGCATTATAAAACTGCGCGAGATAACATGAGAACACGTCGTCGATTCTTCCAAGTCGTTGCCTTCGCAAAATTTAAGTTTCGCTATCAGCGATTTCGAAAACCTGTTAAGGTTATGCTCTCTGCTTTAATCCTTTGGTCAATCTGCTTTTATGTCTTCCTGAATAAGCCGGACTCATCACTCACCACGCATAACGCTGTCCAAGCCGCGGTAAAAAAGGAAGCAATAATGACTCCTGGAAACGTCACACCACGTTTCATCGTTGCTACGGGTGCTCTAAATATTCACGTATGGCGAGAGGTTTGTGGCTCAAGCATCCAGAATCTGCGTCAAAATTTTCTTTTTCCGGATTATCCTGACGAAATTTTCATGAAGTTCAGTGTGGTTAAGTTTCAAATTACAGACAATACCATCGATTATGGTCAACGGATTTTTGGCTTTCTTCATCCTCCTCAGAGCGACGAATACAACTTCGCCATAGCGTCTGATGACGAGTCGGAGTTGTGGTTCAGTCCTAGTTATGATCCGGAACAGAAACGATTGATTGCGCGAGTTTATAAAGAAGGAGTAAATGCTTGGACCAAGAAGGATCAACTTGATAAATATCCTGAACAAATCTCAGAACATCTAATGCTTTCTAGAGACAGAAAATACTACATAGAAGTTGTGCATAAGCAAGGAATTGCTCTTGGTTTTGTACAAGTTTATTGGAAGCGTCGTCATGAAACCGACTTTTACCTTGTCAGTTCGGAATACTTGTCGTCCCATACAAACGATGTTACGGTCACCAAGGCAAAAGATGTTTTGCACAGTTTGCTTTCGGAGAACTACCATCAAGATCTTGAGCTGAAATCTGAATCAATAGATCCTGAACGCCTGCAATTTCTTTCCCTTCCTTTGATCCCAAAAGATATTTATCTTCCCTTGTGTGATTTACAGTCTAACTATTTGTCAAATGGTAAAGTGTATCATTATCAAGGTCGCAAAGCGGTTCAGTTATCCAGTGTCTACCCTGCTGATGAAAGTAGTATGCTGACTAATAGTGGAAATTCGTGGAGTCGGCCTAACAAAATTGCTGACAGGGACACAGTTCAAGCAGCCATGGAGGAGATAGTTATGTCGTTAAAACGTAAAACCTCAAAGTAAGTTGATCTAAAAGTTAAAAAATCGAAGGTATAACAAATGTCAAAAAGTCAAGAATTATATCACTGGGTTGCTACGTAACGATAAAAGTCCATTAACGAAAAAGAAAAAAAAAACCGATGTACAAATGGACACGATTCGAACGGAATGCAAATAACAGACAGCACTCCAAGCTAACTGGGACCGTTTGATTGCCAAGGCGATCGAGAATTGAAAAAATTAGAAGTCGCAAACTTGACGACCTAAATCACTTGGTGATTTCGGTCCAACGTAAAAGTGAGATAAACATTTACATACGATGTCATAGAAAGACTGTCAATTTCTTTGCTAAAACAAATACCTCTTTCTTCTCGTTTGGGTGTGATGTCGCATAAAGCTCAATGAAAGCATTACTACTCGATTTACTTTATGGTTAGCAGTAGAGCCGTGTCGTCTAAAACTGCAGATTTTTCTTTTCTCAGGCGAAAACTCTTTCTTTTTTTGTTTTTTGGTGACCATTCTGTGACTCTAGATTGCCAAATGGCGATTTTGAAAGGCGCTGGGCTGAGAGCCCTGGCAAAGGCGCAAAAACTGTGATTAGTCTGACTAGCTTCTTTCAAAGACAATGCAAAGTGAAATGCAATTGCCGTCATTTTCTGCTATTGATCATGTTTTTCGAACCATCATTATGGTACGCTATGCTTAAATGTTAGTAAATGATCTATTTTAGTGGTTAACCATTCGGGCTGAGTTAAGAAGTAATGCTTTGGGACTAGAACTTATCACATCAAAGAGGTATGCGCACGTCACTAATTGGCTTAATGCCTTGTTCCCTTCATCTTGGGAGGGGGAAAAACCCTGGCAACCAAGGTTTATTTAGAGATACATATTAAAGCCAATGAAGGCCACTAACTTATTGAACTGATGTTATTCTTTGATTTACCTGCAGAAAATATGTTCTAAAGAGAATTCACAAGGTTTTAAACATTCCAGATCCAGTTCACGGCGTTCTTTACTCCGTGGATCTTGAAATCGGTTTACAAGACGCCAATCAATCATTTCGTTTATCGGAGCATGTGTTTGGTAAGGATGCCAACCCCAACTTCTGTTTTCCTCGAGGTATGAACTGGAATAATAAAGCAAAGGTGTACTTTATTCTTCCCGTCAAAGAACAAGGCAGATGGGTGTATCATTTTAATAACCAAATCACTATAGCCAGCTCTTTAACGGGCGACACGAGCTTCCATGTTATTGTCGTCGATTTTGAAAGCGAAGATATTGACATGACAAAGGCATTTAACACGACTCTTCTTCGTAACAGACACACGATTGTTCCATTAAAAGGAAAGTTTTACAAGACAATGGCTCTGAACAAAGCTGTTGAGCATGTTCCAAGTGTACACGACATTTTGTTTTTATTTGATCTTCATATCGACGTTCCCTTAGACATATTAGACAGCGCTCGTAAGGTGAGTTTCTGTTATGATTTGAGTAATGATTATTTATTCATTAATCTATATATTTATGTGGTATTTATTTTAGAGATCCATGATCTCGCGGGCTTTTATATAGATACCGATCGTAGTGCTATGAATAAGCACCAGTAAACCTTTATCGAAAATGACTACTAATAGATTGACGGTGTGCCTATTGATGCTATATTCTACGTACAGTCCCTGCTTTTGGCGAAGACGGTCGCACCGTTTAAAAAAAGATTAGTTAGAGCGTCGCACGGAACCCTGGGACTTCGTGGGCCTCGCACCTAGAGTTCCGCTTAATTAGCTCGTTATCATTCTTTTTTTTTTTGCTGACTATTTTGACACGAGCTACGGACTGCTCGAAGTTTATCTGATGCGAGCGCGCCTCACCGATCTTTCTATACTGATTTATTTTAATTTAATCATATTTTTTTTTTGTTATGCAGAACACAATAGAAGGACGTCTTGTTTACGCTCCCATAGTTGGCCGGCTGCATTGTGGCAGTACTTACGTGGATCATAAAGGTTACTGGGAAATGAATGGATTCGGTTTAATGAGCATTTATAAATCAGACTGGGTACGGTTCAAAGGTAAACAACATCAGTTTTCTGTTGAACGCTCTTATATATAAAAAAAATATATTGATTTTTATTTCATCAATTCCTTCATCTTGAGGCGGGATGGGGGAGGGAGGAGGAGTGTGAAAAAACACTTTATTTACAAAAAATATTTTTTTTTAGAAAAAATAAACGCAGAGGGAAGAAAAGGCCAGCAGGTGGACACATGAACAAAAAGCCCCCACCCCCTTCCCCTTAGCTTAAGGTGTGGATCCGCCACTCAGTCATGTATATTTTCCTTAGGAATGAACACCGAGGACTACAAGTACAAGTGGGGCGGAGAGGACTGGGACTTACTAGACCGTGTTATTAATGCTGAGCTAAAAGTCGTTCGAATAAAGCATGCGGGCCTATATCATCATTATCATACGAAACAAAAGTCTTGGAACTAACGACTCCAACACAGAAAATTCCTTTACTCCTGTCGAGGACTGGTGTAGATATATATTGTTAACGATCGACGTTCCGTTACCCGTTATGAACGCACGCGGTCGATCTGCTCGAACGGCTTGCCCGGCGGGAGCCAAGGAGACTGGGTCCAACACACGAATTCGAGACTTGTTAGAGATCTTTCCGGCGAAAAAATGGCGAGAAGACCTTTTTCTTTTGTTCCGCAACTAGGAGGAGCACCGGTGCTTTCTCCAGCTGGTTGATTTGCATGTGTTCGTCAATTCTATAATATCTTGAACAATATTTCAGAATTTCAAGAGAGATATCTGGAATGTTTATGTTTTATAGTTTTCGGGCTAACAAACACAGAACTAAAGTTATTCTCTCATAGCATGACTTGGTTTTGATCTGCTCTTTGCCATGAGATAAAATAAATTTAAAGGTACCTGCATTGAATATATTTAAAAAAAGTTTAGTGCGATGTCACCGCGATAATGTGAACTAAACGCATGAACTACTTTTCCAGTGCATATTATGTCAGGGTTAGTTTCCTTGCCAATCAGCGACAAACAAAAAAATTCAGTCACATGTCGAGGACACAATCGTTTTCACAACCTTGTTCTCCAAAAAGCGAGAAGAGGAAAGATCTGTTCTAGCCCATATGAACGATCGTTGCAATGAGCGATAGCAATGACTAAAAGTCCAAACGACATTACGGCTATGCCAAATGGTAAGGCATGTGGTTTGTCACTAAACTAATAAAGAGAACGATTATTGAGACCATCCTTTTCCTAACCGGGAGTCAGGTAATACCCTGTGAGGCAAATACCTCCCAAAAAAAGCAAACGAGCCCAAACAGAACACATGATATTTATTATTGTTAACAATAAATCTCAGAGACTTTATTGTACAAGCAGTGTGGGATCTTGGAAAATTCTACCCAAGAGAAAAGCAGTTCTGAAACCGTTGGATTCCGCGCACTGATGGAATCCAAAGGTTTTTGGTTCGGCTCCACCTGAGAACTCGGAATTTATTCTTTGCCCTACGCTTGTGACAAAAGAAAATATGTCACTTTCTCTACATCTTTACTGCGCTTAAAATCTGTCCTTCTGATTCTGTTTACACATAATTCTAGCCTAGTTTCAAACACCACATTTGAGCACAAAATGCGCTGGTTTTGCATGAATTAGTAAGCTTCAGATTTCCCGCATCAGTGGTATTTTTATTCGTTTACACCTGGATCCTTGCATCTCGTCAAAGTAAGTCGTCGTTGATTCGACCGGCCAGGTTTGATACAGAGTGAGAAAGGACGGTGGGGTGACAGAACAAGATAAGGCAAGAATTTCTGTTGCCCCATCCCCTTCCCTCACCTTCGTTTCGACTGTCACCCACCCCCTGCTACAAATTTCTTTATCTCCTCCAGTCTTTCGCTGCTGTAAAAATCAAAGATGGCAGCTATAATTTTCACCAAGAAATTACTGAGCACTAGCTCACCAAAATAACGCCTACGTCGACGAGAAAAAAAAAATCCTCATCTTAAACTAACCAGAGTGCTGGTATTGCAAATCAACGATTAGATTCAGGAACTGTTTCGTTCGTTGCAGTTTATTTCTCTCTGTTTAAAGTTCCAGGCTGGAAAAGATAAAGAATCAATGAATAAATCACTAAATAAATACACGATGCATAAAAGTGCAATAATTCCCTTCAATTGCTCCTCTTAAATTTTACGAATTCTTGTCCCTGTGGGGACGCAACTATGACAATGAGTAACGTTTGATGAGTGGAGAATATAGAGGAGATCTGATTTGCATGTTCAGTGGAGCACGTAGTAAAGAATTAGAATTAATTATCGTAATTGCAAATTCGCCTCGACTACGCGCGGCGGGAAAATTAGGTCATGTGACTTATAATTTAAAAGGAACAATTTATGCTGTAACAACATTCGAAGCTGGTCATCAACGGTCGTAAACGCAAGCATCAAGATAAAGCGTCGAGATAGCGAATCAAGGGTCCTAACTACTCAGAAACACAAATTGTAAGTTGCGAAACCGTTTATCATTTCGACTAAGAATATTGTAGATAATAATGTATCCCGAAATTATTTAATTTTCAGTTGACTACGACGTAACCACGAATGTAACGAGCCGTGTCTTACATTAGTACAAATAAAACCTGACAACGTTGATCCCTGGGCTAATCTTCAGAATAAGTAGCCCTTCAACCATAGGAGCGAACCAAGATCTTTCTTTTTTTTTTATCGTAAGAGGGAATTACGGACTAGAAATGCCTCCGCTAGAGAAATCATAGAGCTGTTCTTAAGTCTGAGTAAATATGTTATTTAAAATATGTATTATTTTAGAGAGGGAATATTTATCGGTGTTACAGCCCCCATGAATCGAGATGCTAGAATGCGTAAAATGTTTTCAGCTGAGGGGTGGGGGAAGGCCTATAATCCATGTTGTTCTTGCTCGAAATCTATTTTTCCTTCTTTGAAATATTTAACGTCAAATCCGGTTTGGAAGTATAATGAATTACGACCTAAAAAAAAAGCCTTCGCTGTGAGAAAGAATGAAGTTATTGATCTCAGCAGAAGCATAATTTTTAGTATTACGCTATTCTAAAAGTGTGCTCTCTAGAGACGAATTTCCTATCTTCGGCGAAAATGAAACTGAAAAGAAGTTTATCACAATTGCGAGAAGAGAAAATATTCCCTAAATTTCCAAAAACTTTATTCTTTAGAGAGACTGAGGGTTAAACACTTTCCCGAGAATTTTGTAGACTATATTCTAAAGAATTGATTCAAGGATTCAGTCGAGTGATTCGTTACGTAATACGATTAAAGGAAGTACAAATCGCGCACAAAATGCCATTTTCAAGAACAATTAACACCAGTACATTCAAGGAATACTGAAAAAAAATTGCTCGCCGAGCTGCGACGGTTTTTTTTATAACTCTCCTGGATTTTAAAAACTTATGGATGGATGGATGGCTTGAGACGTTTTGATCCTCCTTTTCTGTTATAGGAGATGGAATGTGCGAAAGAAAGTTTTAGCATCTTAACATTTCCTATTAATATTGATATGACGCAACCTGTCATATCAAGTCATACCTTCTGTCATTCGTAACTGTTTGTGCTAAATCGCGATGCAAAGATAAACTTTGCGAACTGAACTGAACTGCATTAATGAGGACTGGGTGTGCGTAAAATGCAAAATACGAACAGATAAAGGCTAACACCAAATCAATACCAAAAAGGAATAAAAAAGATTATGCCATAAAAGTTAAATGTGCTCTTGTTGCTGAATTTTCTGCTTTGCCTGGATTATCTTAACTTCTTCTAAGATATGGATCTTAGAATCCTGCATCTATTAATTAATTAATTTGGTCAGGCAGGGGACATTAAACCACCCACTCACGAGATTACTGTGATGTGGTCTGGCCTGTTTACTGAGAATTGGGGGAAGGGGGCATCTGTTAGATTCGCCTTTATTGATTGTAAACTGCTACTAGCAGTCTGGCAAAGTCCCCCGCACAGTGTTGTAAAACAACTCGAAATTCAGCATAAATTGCTGAAGGTAGTTGTTCTGTTATCACTATCACTTCCATGGAAAGTGTATCGCAAAAATTGAAGCTTAAAATCTATTATAACATAACCAAAGTAAAGCGCGCGCTCTGATTGGTCAATTTAGCGTCCCCCATTTGCTCATGGGTGTACGCTGCTGACGTGGGCAAATGCAAAGACTATTTTTTCCGCGCGCGCTTGTTTTTTTTCTGGTCACGTAAGATTTGTTAAATAAAAGGGAACTCTTTAGCTACAATGTATCAATGTTATGTTATAAAACAAATGTCTTAAGATGTCTTAAAACAAATGTCTTAAAACAAATGTCGTAAGAGTCGCTCTCGGCTATCGCCTCGAGCGACTCTTACGCTTCTTTCGTGCTTAGGAACCTCCCGCGTGCATCCATTACTCAATAGTGTACGCTGTGTTGTTTACCATTTGTTAATTGAAGTTTGCTATAGACTATCCGCCACTCAAACCGTACCTATTTCCGAATGTTCTTTCTGGCTAATAAACTAAAGCATGAATAGATGTTCTATTTACTCTCTGATTTCAAGTTAGCTCTACCAGGTAAGTACATTCCTCTGAGATGAATGGTGAGCTTGGAGGGTGACACTGCACAACGCACTCACAAACAGTACGATAAGGGTAATATAGGAAGGAAAAAAAACCTTTTTTCTGTAAATCAAGGCTTCCTAATTTCTGTTCCCCCCTAAAGGATTTTTTAAGCCAATGAGAGCCTTCTTGATATCTTTTTTTATTACATACTAGTCTAAGACGAGACTCAACTGCAAGGATTATAAACACAAGTCCACTCCATTGTATTACACGCTTCATCTGTCATCCGAACTGGAATGTTCATCGGCGAAATTGTCTGCCCACTCTCAAACAGAGATCATTCCGGCTCACACAGAGCAACTTTTTCCACCACAAGACAGCTCTCTTCATGTCTCGTAACTTTTTGCTCCGAAATATCTTTCTTTAGTAACAGCCGTGTTTAAATTAACCATCGGCTTACTGGTGAACAAAGGCAGAGATAAAGCGGCAGAGAAGCTCAGAGATGGTGATGTAACAGATAAAAAATTTCGTAGTTTAATCGTGCGTGAAATCGACGATATCAAGTCGAAGTTGGATGGCTTAATAAGGAGAGATTTACTTGCAAGTATCAGCTTCTTTGAGGAAGGAATTGAGCTTTTGTATGAAGTGTTTGAAGAAGCAAGGTCCATACGCGAGCCTGACGAGAAATTAGCCGTTACTGCTGATGCATTTTCTGTCGTTAAGAGTTTGAAAAATCTGGACCTTACTGGATTGGATGAGTCAGCTGTACAGAAGCTTTCAGAGGCAAAGACGAGATTTGAAAATACAAGAATTGACGCAACAAGGGCCTTTGCTAACGAGGCTTTATCAATTTATGATCGCATTATGGCGATGCAGTATCGAGTTATGGCGACTATTTTAAAGACAGTCGATAATCCGTCGAACGCATTAGCACCATGCAGAGTTTGTATCAAGGAACTAAATTCTCTGCCAGCGGTACAGGACACTTTCAATGTTCAGCTTAAGACAGGCATCCAAGCAGTAAGAGGTTTGCTCAGTAGAAAAGAGAGAAGGAAGAATGTTGTCGAAGTCTGTCACGTAAATCGCGTCATCTACGATGTCACGCGAACTGTTGGTGAAGACGCACACTTATGGATCTGGCCTCCTGTTGATGCTGGAGAAAACAAAATCAATCTATTGTATGACGCAAGAGTACCTAAAGTAGTAGTTGAAGAAGGCATGGAGCACTGTTGTGTTACTCCATGGTCATTTGGTCAGGAGGCGGTGAAGAGTGGCACAAGTTGAAGAAGCCGACAGGTATTGCTACAAACTCCAGCGGAGAATTCTTTGTAGCTGACGGTGAAAACTTAAAGATGTTTGAAAGCAGCGGTAAGTTTGTGAAACATATCATTCTCCCTTTCGATGACACAATTACTGAGGAAGCAAAGCTATGGTTAGGTGATGTGAAAGCAGAGCTAGGCATATGCCATGTTGCCACACACATGGGCGACCAAATCACTATACTGACCGAACTACACAAGCCTGGGACTGAGTTAGTTTTGTGGGTTTATAAACTTAGTAAAGCCGCTGACCTGCATGCTAAGTTTCCTCTGAGCGATTCCGTCTCCAGGCACGATGGACTGTCAGTTGGTGATGCAGGCGAAATAATGATGCTGAATTATTCGCACTTGAACAGCTCCCCGAAAGTGGACGGCAGCGTGGCGGTATATGACACTGAGGGAAATTTTGTTCGCCGTATTGGACAACGTATATTGGAGAACCCATCGGATATCACTATTTCTAATGATGGCCTTATTTTTGTATCGACCGATTCCTGTGTTCACATATTCGGTGATCAAGGCGACCACCTGAACAAGTTTAAACTGCAGAGTAATGGCTGTGATTACTTAAGGATTAGGTTTCACCCAGGAGGTGAACATGTCGTCATCGCTGGTCGTGAAAGGGGGAAGGATCTCTTGCGTGTAGAAATATACACTAAAGATGGTGAGTTTGTTCGCAGTGCACAAATCCAAATTGATGGGATTCGTGAAGTACGAGGGATTACAGTGACTAACCAGGGACGCATTGCTGTTGTAACTGGAATCTGGAAAGAGCAATGTTTAAATTTTGGGGTAAATGTTTTTTAAGATTTTTTTTTTCTTGTTTACTTGTTTTCCAAACTGTCGTGTAAAATTGTTTGCCTCCAATCAAGTACTAGTCAATGTTATTTTTTTTTTTTGTAATTTCGAAACTATACCTTCAGTTAGTATTTTATTCTGTCAAGATTGTGAGGTTTTACTTTTGACAAGTATCACAATTACTACATGCAATTACTACAATTGTTATTTTATGCTGAAACTTGGTTGGAATTAGGTGGTGCAAAAATTTGGTAGATTCCAAATCCAATAGTTCGTAACTCAGAAGCAAGCTTAGTAACTACAGCATAAATGTTGCCTTATTTTCAGAGATTTCTGAATTCTTGATGGCCATATTCTTATAGTTTATAGAACCAAACCATTTAATGGCTATTTAAACTTTGGATGATGCATTTCTAATGTTCTGATTTGTTCACTCAACTCTGGTTATCAGCTCATATTGAGTCACCTTATATGAAAATGCATTGCCAAATATTGGAAACTGAAAATGTTATTGAAAATATGCAAATGTTCAGGATTTAATGACAATTAATCCATGCATGCTTAATTGGATATGAGATTGATTATTAGCAACTCAGCACTACACATTTCCTTGGTTAATTACCATCTCATGTCCAATGTGCACTCATGGTATAATTGTTAGATATTTTCCAGTACTTCCAAACCATGCACCATATTCAAGATTGGTTATAGCCAACTCTGTACTACACATCTTCAAGATTGGTTATAGCCAACTCTGTACTACACATCTTCTTGACTATTCAACATCTCATCTCCAATGTGCACTCCTGGAATAATTGTTAAACATTTCTCAGTATTTCCAAGTCATGCGCCTTGCTGTGTATTACTAATTGAAGCCATCATGTGCAACAAGTTCTGAATAAGGAATCTCACTCATACGACACATCAACAGCTTCTGATTTAAGATTTTAAATGGTGTGCATATGAATTTTGCCAATTTCATTTTTGTTTAGGGAGTAGGGTAATGGCACCAGTGGGAAGACCATCATAATTTTTTATCAGGCATTTTATTGGACATGTATACTGTTTACCCTGCTGTTTATTAAATTACTAGTTGTTCTGCACTCTGGTGATGTAAAGTTAGCTCAAATTAGTGGGGGAATCTTTATGCCCCTTTATGCAGTAAGCCAAACATACTTGGGGACTGCTTAGAGACTGGTTACCAGAGAGACAAACACTCTTTCTCAGCTGCTGTTCTTTATTGTAAGTAATGCTTTCTTTTACTAAAATACAAGGGAAGTGTTGTGACTCAGGAATTGCATCTTACAGAGTTGTGGGTAGCTTTCCTCTTTTCTTGTTTGAGACCCAAATGTCTTCACTTTTTTCATTTTAATGTTGGTAGTAAAGTTTATAAACTTTGCCTATTCAATTTTGATAGATGACCTCTACAATTGTTTTTTTAAGCTGAAACTTACTTGGAATAAGGTTAGGCAAAAAGTTGGTCGATTCAGAGTCCAATATTCTCCGGTGATTTTTGCAACCCTGAGTTTCAAATTTAGATGTGAAAATTACGAGGTGACTATATTTTTATTGCAATGAGTCCAAGTTCAAATATGCCAACAAAAGATTCAAGGTTGAAGTGTTTTTCAATATTCAATGCATTAAGGTATCAATTTGAAAACAAAAAAAACGTCATTTCTAAACCATAAACATCATGTTCAACAGAAAAACTTAACCGCCCCACGGCTAGCTCAATTGGTTAGAGCGCTGGATTGTGTTGTGTGGGAGGTCAAGGGTTTGAGCCCAGGCCGGAACAATACTCATGGTCTTAAAATTATTGAGGAGAATTTGCTACCTTTCTATAATATCTGGAAGTGGATAGATATTCTAGTCTTCTCGGATAAGGACGGATAAGGACGAATAAGGCGTAGGTCCCATCTCCTGCAGGGTTAGGGGTAGGAGATGTTAATTTCCCATTCATGAGATCACTGTGTGATGGATGTCCTCCCCTGGGGTGGGATGGGTTGGTTGCTGTCTCACGTTTCATACATGAGCCTCTGGCTCGGGCAATCTGGGTAACCACTCCTCATGTAAAGACAATAAACCTGATTGATTGATGTTGAAAATAACACTTGAATTTTGGCAGGAATTCACTGCCACACATTTAATCATTTATAACTGTAAATATCTTCATTAGGTTTGTTTCTTTATCTTCTTCAGAGAGTATAGTTGCAATTATATGAAATAAACCATTTGTATGATTTAAAAAGGCATGCTTTACATTGGCATCCAGAATTTATTGAACATTTCTATGAGTACTAGTATTGGTTGCAAGTCAATTTTAATTTTGTGTTACCATTTTGTAAAATTTTGCTTTAGTGCTTTTGCTTATGTTCTTTTGCATAGTAGCTATTCCGGTTTGGCCTAAATAAATTTTTTCACTCGGTGTGATAATTGATACTGTGTAACAATAAGCCACCATGGTGTAGTAACCTATTTAATTGTCAGTGTAGAGAGCAGAAAAATGAATTAAAAAATTGTCCATTGGGGAAAAACTTTGTAACTTTTAGCACCCTTCTTAAAATTATGCATCACTGACTGGTTAAATTGATCCACAGTAATGGAATCTCACTAACAGAATGTTCATGAAAATGAGAAGTAGACTGTTTGAAATTTTAATTTCTGACCACAAGTGTCTGCTTATGGGTGTTTATGAAAAATCCCGTAGTCTTTGTGTGTGAAATACTGATTGATACCATGACACTATTCTCAGGCAGGCTGCCAACTACAAGAATATGTGCCACCCTCTTTAAGCTGATTGTTATGATTCAATACCAGAGAAGAACACCAAGACAGAGATACAAATGTAACAATGACAAGTTTATTACAATTACTGCTGTTAAGAAGCCTTGTTAACATCTCAAGCAGTAGCTATTTAATGCACACACACATATTTTTACAAATTTTAACATTCAAAACATTTTCAACATCTTAACAAGAACTGACTTCCCATAAGCTGTAAGATTTCTTTCAATACATGAATATTACTCATGATCAGGGCTGTTTTTTAGGCATTGTGTTTGTAGCCATCATTCCAATGACTCCCAATGTCACAAAGAATCCAACCGCACATCCATAAACCATAACCCTGCAGGGAAAGAATTGTTGCTTTCTTGGTGAACCCTTTAACCCCATCTGAGTGACCAAGACAGAATTTCTCTTTACAGTATCAATAATGTATCAAGCAGACAAGTGATGAGAAGAAAGAAAAATATAATTTAGGGGATCACCAGTTGATCCAATACCAAATTCTCCAAATGAACATCGTAAGAATTGTATAACAGAGAGTTAGGAGAATTACTAATGAGATTTTGGGAGTGAAAGGCTTAAATACCAGTCCTTTGTGCATATAGCTTGATAGCCATTGTAGACTGAGAGGCAACTCAATCTTATCAAAAAACATTCATTCAGTGGTTCTTTCAGTTCCTTGAATCTATTTCATCAAGTGATTTTGTAGGCATCTTTTTGAGCAGATAAGAAAATACCAAAACCTGGAGAACAAACTCCAGAAAAAGGACAAAGACAGCCACGAAAACAAGCAACATGTTACACCAAGTTTACCCTCTTCCCTCCCATCTAAACAAACCGTTATGAGAATATTCCATAATTTTTTGGTGACAAATAGGAAATATTGCACAGGCATTCTTTTGGAGGGAAAAGAACAAGCCTGTGAAAATTACCTTACGAAGTAAAACCCTTTCACTCCCAGTGTTAACAAAATACAATTTCTCCTTCACATATCTATACATTTTCAAGTATAAATCAGACTGGGTACGGCTTAAAGGTAAATAGCATCTATTGAACGGTCAACTAAAAACATAGGCATGCTATGCATGCAGGAGTTATCTTTTTGGATATGTGGGTTGAAATGGGACACTAAGTAACTGATGCTGGTGTCTGAATAATTTTTGGCAATAATAAACTGCATTGACACCACGCTTTCTGCAGTCCCCTCCACAGCCCTTATTTGAACTCGTCATGCAACGCTGTCTCTCCAACGTTGCGTGACGAAACCAAACAACGACCTGCTCGTTGCTTATAATAATGCTTGCTGCCGCCTCTTTGTCAGAGACAAAACCGAAATCATTATTCTGGCCGTACAGGGCCACAATCAGTAATTCCACTTGGTTTTTCCTGTGCAGAAAGATGCACAATAGGCGTTACGTAGCACTTTTAAATTTGAGTCAAGGAATGTGGTGGACATAGCCTGGGAACGAGGATGAGTTTGGCATCGAGTGTCAGTCAAGCTTAAATAGGACCCGATTCTATTAACTGTAAATGTAAAGTCACTCAGTGCAATGGAAACAAAATCACAATCACAAAAATCCAGGCATTACGGGACATATCTGGAGTAACAAAAATGAGTTGCAATCTACCACGCCTGCTCACTCACGATAAACTTTGAGCGAGAAAAGCACCCTGTATGGTCCTGTATGCCAGGGAGTCTCTGATGTATCGAGTATTGAAGCGCAGGGTCCATAATAAGTCGTGCACCCGTGTTTGTTTATCATTCGTGACCTTTGCAGTGACTAATAACCTTTCACTGGACGCCTTATGATCATGAATGCAAGTGAAGTTGCAGATTGCTTAATATGGTAAGTAGAAAGATTGTACCATTGCGGTCTTCTTCATTTCTTCATGAAATTTAAAAATGAGTCCCAATAAATAGAAATAACTGACTTGTTCGACTGTTTTGTTGATGCTACTATGGAGAACTGAACTGAAGACCGTGCGAGGGTGTCTTCATTCAGCAAATCACATCACGTGACTTATTAGTCATTTCAATGACGTCACAGTATCGGTATCGATATCGATATCGAAGAAAAAGGTAAATATCGTACTCAGTATCGTATCGATTCGAAAAGGCCGTATCGGCTTTAGTAGCAAGATTCTCGTGTGCCAGCCAGAAACCTTCACGCTGATTGCCCTTTTCTGATTGGAGGAAGTTTAACGATGACCAATTCAAAATATCTGGCTGGCACATGAGAATCTTGCTACGCAGTCCCAGATGGCTCAAAGGTAAAACTCACCGTCCAACTACACCCGGGAATATTGGCCAGAATCCATTCTTTACCAACAACCAATCACACACCGAGATGGAAAGAAAAAATTGAAATCCATTAGATTTCCCCTGCAATGGTCTCATGTTAAAAGATTTCGTTGTCGAAGAGTTCCAAAAGGTCACTGGATGACCAAACTATATTGAGACTGTCAAAGAAGAGTAATCGAATTGGTATGTCTGAGTTTTATCTTTGAGCAATCTGAGACTCCGCTTACTCGACAGGAACTTACTACACTCGTCACCAGGTGCCCCGAGTTCAATGCCAGTTTGAATTGGACAGTTGTGATGCCAACGGTTTCGGGTAAGGATGGGCCGATACAGCTTCTTCGAATCGATACGATACCGATACTGTGACGTCATTAAAACATTAAGTCACGTGATCTGATTGACTAAATGAAGGCACTCTCCACGGTTTTCTGTTCAGTTCTCTACAGTAGCATCAACAAGACAGTCGAACAAGTCAAACATTTCAATTTATTGGGACTCATTTTAATTTTCCCGAGGAAATGTAGAAGAGCTGCAATGGTACAATCTTTCTACTTTCTATATCAAGCAATATGCAACTTTCACTTGCATTCATGATCATAAGGCCTACAGTGAAAGGTTACCGGTCACTGCACGAGTCACTAATAATTACCAAACACGAATGCCCGACTTTTTATGGATCTTGCGCTTCAATACTCGACACATCAGAGACTCCCTATCGTACAGGACCATGCAGAGGTGCCATACTTAAGAACTATTTAACCTTTCTCAGCGCTTTACTCGCTCGAGGTTTTTCTTTGGTAAACAGGCATAGTTGCATCTCATTTTTGTTACTCCAGATATCCCCTTGTAATGCCTGGATTGTTGTGAGTCGTGATTTTGTTGCCTTCGTATAGAGCATGTAGAGTGACTTAACATTCACAGTTAATAAAATTGGGTCCTATTTCACAGTGAAATGTTGTACTAGGGAATGAAAGAAATCGCCACTTTGATCGGTACACTGCGGCAATCCTACATTGCACACAGCATCGCACATGCACGATCTCGAGCCCAGAGTCTTTTCAGCTACTTGTCAGCGGTTAGTCGCGGGAGATTAAAGCGCAGGTAGGTCACGTGCAGTATCTAAAGGATCAATACTCTTTGCTAGTATCGTTATTTTTCGATCCGACCTCGTTATCACTGGTATCGAATATTTGGTATCGGTATCGGCCCATCCTTAATTTCGGGCCGCCATTCCAGTGGGTTAACGTACAAGTTTTACGGAGCCCACTGGCTTCGCGTTTCAAGCTGGAGCTGCTTTAGTGGCTTCATGGTTTAGAGTTATTCTTGTTATACAAGCCTGGGGTGTTTATTTGACGACTGGATTGGCTTTTCGCGAACAAAATGTGCTGGATTGAGGGTCGATCGGTACCCGACGCTGCCATCAGCCTCTTACCTTGTCTCTCTATTAGGAAGGAAAGGTGAAGAGTATTTTTCCCGAAACTTCGGGTACATATTAAGGACAACAACAAATCGCCACATAGTAAGTTTAATTGATTTTTATTTCCATTTTCAAGCGAATTTCCAGACCTACACTTCTCCCCATATGTTCTCTCTATTTAACCATGTGTACCGTGACACAAACAGTGAGCCTGGGTTACCTGTGGTGAAAATGGACTAAACGAAGAAAAAAGTATCGATTTTCAAAGCATAACAATGAGAGCCTCTTAATTGGTTGTTGCCTATCTGGACTTTGCCCTGTGCGTGCGAAATACGTGATAAAATGCAGGTTGTTTACAAGGAGTTGACACGCAATGGGGTAAAGTCCAAGGTAGGTAAGAGCGAATTTTATTGGTAGAAAAAGTTTAAGCACGTGAGAGTTGCGTGGAAAATTGACCGTCTGAACCATTATGTTTCTTCTGAATTATTGAGTTATTTTTAAAAAAAAAATTGTATGATATCGTATAGAGTAGTGTGTTTTGGTGTCGTGTAATCTGATCAGTGCAATCTGATTGGCGCATCTTTTTTTGGTGTATCTCAATGCAATGTGATTGGCGCAATTTTTTGGTGTATCACAAACCAATTAGATTGTGGTATTTTTGAATGTCGCACCAGTGAGAGCGTACTTGCTAATTTGGGGTTTGACAGGTCTTCAAATTTTAGCGAATCAACGCGTGAGTCGGGGAGAGCGGTTCGCGAATTAAGGAAACGTATTAGTCGCGTTGGGAAAGCGGTGGATTATGATCGATGTACGACTATGGTTATTCTTCGTTCTGAAGGAGACCGAGTGGAACATGAGAATAATTTTGAATCAAATATTGCTTGACATGTTGATGGGAGCAAGTTTAGGATATTTCATTGCTATATATGACTTAATCAGCGATTCCATTTTCAGTTTCTTTTAAAGAACGAGGTAAGAATGACATCTACAAGAGTTGTGAGTTCATCTATCCAATGTAATGGTTCTTGTCCTTCATGAGGACTTTATCGCTATGATCTGTCGGGAAAGGTCGCCAGAGAACTTTTTCTAGCATTAGCAAGTTAAAGCGTGTATGTTTTGTGTACCGCTTCTTCGCTTACGACGCACACACCGTCATCTAAAGGCCTAACAGGAATTTAGCACCAGAGCGTGTTGTTGAGTTATTGTTGAGTTATTTTTTTTTTATTGAGTTATTTTTTTTTTAAAAAAAATAACTATATGTTAGCGTATAGATTAGTGTATTGTGGTGTAGTGTAATCTGATCAGCGCAATTTGGTGTATCTCTAAGCAATCTGATTGGCGCATCTTTTTTTTTGGTGTATCTCAACGCAATGTGATTGGCCCAAGTATTTGGTGTATCACAAACCAATCAGATTGTAGTATTTTCCCATGCCGCACCAATCAGAGCGTTCTTGCTGATTTATGGTTTGACAGGTCTTCAAATTTCAGCGAATCAACGCGTGAGTCGGAGAGAGCGGTCCGCGAATTAAGGAAATGTGTCAGTCGTATTGGGAAAGCGGTGGAGTTGTGATCGTTGTGAAACTATGCTTATTCTCCCTTCTGAAGAAGACCGAGTGGAACATCAGAAAAATTTTCAATCAAATATTACTTCAGATGTTGATAGGAGCAACTTCAGGATATTTCATTGCTATATATGAGTTAATCAGCGATTTCAATTTGAATTTCGCTCAAGGAACAAGATAAGAAGACATCTACAAGAGTTGTAAGATCGTCTATTCAATGTAATGGCTCATGTCCTTCGTAAGGATTTTATCGTTATGATCTGTCTGGATTTGAAAGGTCGTCAGGGAACTTTTTCTACCGATTAGCGAGTTAAAACGTGCATGTTTTGTGTACCGCTACTTCACTTAAGACGCGCACACCGTCAGCTAAAGACCTAACACGAACTTAGCGCTATAGCGTTTTGTTTTGGAAGGGCTACTTTTGCTGACTCTGGTAAAACTTGCGCAAGACATTTGCATAAATCATATTTGATTGATAATCTTTCTTTTTTGCCATATGGTTGCTCTTTTAGCAGCGGTTGAAACGACCACCAAGTTACATTTACTTTATGTCGACTGCCACGTTACATATCTGTTTCTTTGCTTCTAAAAGATCGAACAGATTATTGGGCTTACTCAAGCGGACATTTGGATCTCACTCTAGGGCTCTATTTACTGGTTATAGATCCATGATCCGTCCAATACTCGAGTACGCTTGTCAAGCGTGGAATCCTCACCAAGCATATCTCATTGAAAAACTTGAATGCGTGCAAAGGAACGTTACAAGATGGATCATTGATAAAGACACTCCGTATGAAGACCGACTGAAATCCTTGAAACTAGCGACACTAGCTCAGCGCAGAGAGTTTCTTAGTTTGGTTCAGCTTTTTAAGTTCATTAAAGGACACTCTTCTGTAAACACTAATAATTACATATCCTTCAGTAACAGGCAATCAAGAAAAAGTCATCAGTTTAAACTATATAAACCATTTAGCCGTACAGACATCTTTAAGTACTCTTTTTGGCACAGACATATCGACACATGGAACAGTTTACCATCATCAGTAGTTGAACTTGACTCAATTAATGCTTTTAAGAAAGCTCTTAAATCAACATTTTTTAACTAGGTCTATGACTAAAAATTAAATTATTCTATGTATTATACATTATTTAGTTATAATCTTAAACAAAATAGTTATCTTAGATATGTCTTCTTTATTTAGATTTTATATTTATATAGATATATGCCTGTATGTAAAATGTTTCAGTATGTATATGTATATTGCATAGTATTAAATTTTTATATCTGGGGTATAGTTTACAATGAGGATTAAGTTCCTCCCTTCTATAACCCTTTTTTAATAATAATATGTTACATGTTATTATTTAAATAAAGTTGTTATATATATATATATATA